ATTTAAAGTAAACTTTCGAGACTAGCAGTAAATCAGATCCATGAGTTATATTCCCTCTATTTCGTTTAAGGCAGTGGTTCCCCAAATTTTCCTAGTAGCGGCAGCCTTTTTCAATTAACATTTTTCCATGGCGCCCTACCCTAAGTATGAATATTCGTAAGTAAGTGATAAAAATAAATAAAACTCGTGTATCTTCATTATTTTTTTTTACTTTATTGACATTAAATTAATATTAAATAATTAATGAGATGGATGAGCCTGCAAATCACTGCATATTTTGTCAAATTGAAGCTTTTACAATATTTCCCGGCGCCCATGTAAAGGGGCCGCGGCTCCCGGAGGCGCCGCGGCGCACAGTTTGGAAATCACTGGTTTAAGGTGATGAAGAAAACTGGGAGTTGACTTTTCTCACAATGATATTAATAGAGCTGGCGTTTCCAGCTAATTTCACATAGCCTTGTTTTCCTTGGACTGCAGTTTCGACCTCGTCTAGGTCTTATCAACACCCTCAGCAGGAGTCGAGCCATAACAATGCCGCGTGTAATCTCGATAAATTAAAGACTACGCCACATTACCACGAGTGCCATTGGGTCGCAGGGCAGATGTGAATTTCAAAGAAGACCAGGCAGTCTGTGGTAGATATTATCGATGAAGCAAACTTATATTTGTTATAGCAATAGACGATATTACTTATATAGGAGACTAGAGCTAGTTGGCTAACAGCAGACGTTTGATCATAGACGTGGTCCATCAGGCTAAGGCTTGACCATTAAAATTATTCGGGCTTTTTAGATTCATATTAGTCTACCATCCAGCCTGAGAATCCTGATTGTTAGGGGCCTACTCAGGGAGGCGGGAGTACGCGTGACATCAAAGGCTTGAAACAGTGTGGGATATAACGCTTCGAGTAGTACAGCTAGGGTGGCAGGGATCGAATAAAATATCTGAACCAGCAGGGGAGGGATAAGAAGGAGACTCTGATAAGACCTATGGGAAGAGGATCGCGAGGTGAGGGGGTGAGAAAGCCAGTTTTGGGGTTGGAGAGTTCTTATGGAATCCGTAAAAATGGGCACACAATGTAACACATTTAAATAAGAAATTGTGATAGTGAAGGGGAAATCAACATCCTGCAATCATAACAGGTATAAAGGTAGGCAGAAATTCAATTATTAGATTAGTAAATTTGGCCAGAACTTCAATGGCAAGATGTATGGGCAAACACGTAGTTTAACTATGGGACCGTGATTAGCACCTATTTTGGCCTATAACCACATGGCTTAATTAGGGGCTCATCTGTTTGTTTGCCAAAAGTTATTAATTAGGTATACGATCGATACTATGCTATTTGGCAAGATAGCAAAGATAAATAGGAAGAATTACTTCGGATAATTAATAGATTAGATGACATTATTAAATTTACCTTATCTGGATGTATTAATGAGCAAATAAAGTAATAAATCGGGTGGAGACGTGCATATGAAACCCACATACGAGTGTTTCTTTATTAATTTCTCATCTAATCAAAAATGCAGGGCTAAGGTAGGGTCTTTTAAATCAATGATGATAAGGAGTCTGCGTCTAGTAAACATGCATTACAAGGATATGAAGAAAAACTGGGTTTCGAAGAATTCCTTAATGAAAGATTGTGATATGACTCTCCATTTCGAAGGGAAAGTTAGTTGGAAGGAGTCCGTGATGGAAATCGAAGGGGGATTGTCGCGTAGGAAAGACTGTCAACTCACCGTCCTCCGACCCCAACGAAACTGTGCTAAGCTTTCGTCTATACTGTCACAGGCATCATCAGAGCAAGATTCGATATTTAACCAAATAGAGCAAAAATATACTAAGCCAAGAAAGAGGTGGCCGGCTGCAACCCTAGTCGCTTTTTATACACCTAACATTGCGATATTAGGGAGGCCATCCATGATTTGGTTGGCTACTTCAACCTTACTCTACATGCTTGCAAATGAGTGCGATCGTACGCTAGTTTTTGTCTGATGAAACAGCTGCCACCGAACGCATTATCGGTTCGGGAAGTTAACTTTACTCATTTTCGAGCATGCAGAGTAAGGTTGAAGTAGCTAACCTAATCATGGGAGGCCTCATTAAGATCGCGATATTAGCTGTATAAAAAGCAACTAGGGTTTAAGCCGGCCACCCTCTTCCCTTGGTTTAGTATACTTTGCTCTAATCCGTAAAGTATGGAATCTTGCTCTGATGATGTCTGTCACAGTACAGAGAAAAGCTTAGCAGTTTCATCGGGGTCGCAGGACAGTGAGCCGAGGACTTCTTCGCTCAATTCAACAGCATTCCCTACACGACAATCCTTCTTCAGTTTCCGATGAGATCGCATCACGAATTCCCCTCAACAAACCTTCTCTTCAAAATGGAGTCATGCCAAAATAAATTACGGGCACCAGTAAATTGGTAGATTGAGGCATATACTATTTCAAAACAATTACTCATATGGATTAATAGATAATTAAATTTCAATTCTTATGAGGCGAAACAAGCAGATATACTATTCAACACGATTCCTGATTTTGCCTCCCTGTCAGCTTGCTAATACAGAAAATTCAATAGACGGGTCCAAAACATAATGTTTTTCTGGTTACGGCCCCTCATTTCGAAGCGTAAGATTAAGGAGTCTATAGAAAGTCACCAAACAGCCAACATCCTGAATAGGAGGAAGAAGTGTAGCAAATGGAGTAGGAACAAATTATAGTTGTTGGATAAGCCTAATGAGAGGGACGGAGAGGGAGAGTAGGGAGAGCCATTGGACAAGAGGCTGAATTAACCTCGAGTCTATCCAGGGATATCACACCTCTCATGAAATGAACATCGGATGCATACAATAGACAATAGCACATCTAAATGAGTCAATATCAGAGGATTGTACACTGGCATATTTATGTAAGGAAACAGCTGCCAACGAATCCCCTTTCGGTTGATAAATTAATTTCATTTATCTGCCAGAATGTAGAGTAAGTTTGAGTTAGCTAATTAAATCATGGGACGCCTCAATAAGATCGCAGTCAAGTGTATAAAAAAGTGAATAGTGTTGCAACCGGCTCCTTTTTATCTAGGCTAAGTGGATTCATCGTGCTATTTAATAAAGTATATATTATTGCTATGATGATATCTGTCACAGTACAGACGAAAGTTTAGCACAGGTTCATCGGGGTCGAAGGACGGTGAGCCGAGGACTTTTTCGCACAAACCAACAGTCTTCACTCAGTGGCAATCCTATTTCGGTTTCTGATGAGAACATTTCACGAATTCCTTCCAAACAACTTTTCCTCCGAAATGGAAAGTCATAACACAATAAATCACCAAGGATTTTCTTCATAGATTGAAAACATTAGCAATCAGGTGGTGGGCGTCAAAAATAAAATCATAGCCACTGCCACAGCCGTGTAACTCGATGACTGCATTTCATCACTTACAGAGACCTAAGTTGAGGATAGTTCCTGCCAAATATATTGTCATCTGATAAAACCAAATAAATGTATAAAAATTATATTATGCCTGAGATGCCATGCAGTATGGATAAGGTGATTAGCACACAATGTTCATGATCCGTATCAATAAAATCTCATAAAACCTATATTTGTGCAATCTTATCAGAACGAATCAATGGTGCCATCTTATTTGCAGGGATCGCCTTTTGATAAAGAAAGATTAAATAGCTACGAGTAAATTCGAATTATACCGGAACATGATAAAAAATGATATCATCATTATCGGTGGAATTTAAAAGATGGGCTATTTTGTTTGGAGATAATAGGATAGTGATTCATATTTACAAATAACCAACAATAGTATATGATTTGGGTAATCGAGCAAAATGTGGCTTTTATAAGGTTAATTCATTTTATGTGATTAAGAAACAACTCTGATTCGAAAAGAATTAAGGTCATATTTGGTAAGTTTTATCAGAAGATTTTAATTGTTAAAACATTTAACTATCGTGAAATATGACGCATGCTTACGTCAGTGAACAACTAATAGGAAATAACAAATAGTATTTATCCAAATATTTTATTTTCGTAGTTCACATTTCTATTATCACGTATTACTTAATTCAAAATGGGCAATGTAGTATAGATACTAAGAAAAGGTTTTATAGATAGAAATCGGTCATAAAAACGGAAAATGGAATGATATCGAGAATTAAACTGACATGATAAAGTGCAAGGAGAGCGAGCTTACCCTGATAGCTGTCAGTATGCATCGATAAACCATCAACTTTAGAGGATTGACCAGCGCGGAAATTGTTATCTATCCCAATAACGCACCGACTTCCATTACATGGTAGCGATGCAGTCTCCGAGAGGGCTAAGAGGGATGCATTTGACGCCTGGCGACTAGTTAATGAGATCTGCGGCACTTGGGTACCAGGGTGATGCTGGCGGTTTTGAGCCGGCATCGAGGTTCGATGATGGTGAGGATGCTGGACATTATGATAGTGCTGGTGACGGTTGCCGTGGATCGCCTGGTGTATACCGACTGGTTCGCTTGGCTGAAATCTGGAAGTTGCAGGGTGAGATAATCCGAGAGCATAGGTAATGGGTGTGGATGAAGCCAAGTGGACAAAAAAGTCCCCTTCAGTGGCCGAGGCTGAAGCAGAAGCTTCATCGACTTCGGGAGGATTAAGGTCGTCGAGCAGCTCTTCACTATCTCCTGTCACTAGCAGATTGGCCGTTACGTAGTCTTCATCCCGTTCACTTTTACCGGTAGCGAAGTTTCCCTCGGCTCTCTCAACTTCAGAAGAATCATCCTCTAAACTTTCTTCCTTGTCATCCTCTTCCTCTTCCATCCCATCATATCCTACATCCTGACCATCACCCAACTCAGGACCCAACAGGTAGATCGGATCTCTAGTGTCAGCTGCATTAGAGTTAATTTCAGTGCCCATGGATGGAAGGGCATCTTGCGGACCCAGTAGGTATCGAGGAGGCAAAGCTCTATCGTCCATTGAACGAGTATTACCCCGAGCTGCTGAATCGAGTGTAGCCCCAGCAGATGGAAATTGGCCAAACTCGCTATGACAAGTATGTGCCAGGCCAATAATAGCCGATGGCCAGATGGCGTCAACTAAAAAGTGCGGATATGAGCCAGGGATGCCGCGCGTGAGGACAGCAAGGAATCTAGGTGAAGCTAAATTGACACCAGATAAGAGAAGTCCGCGATAAGATGGCTCAGAATCAGGAGCGGAAGGTTGCTCACGTTGGCTTATCACATCCAAAAGAAGATCGGCTTGCGCAAGCCCCGAGCTACGTACCTCGAGAAGAAGTTCAGAAAGAGACATCAATTCAAAACGGATGCATTTTTGGACAAGCTGTTCGGATCTAGCTTTGCTATTCTGTCGAAGCCAAATATAAGTCTCGTTCGAAAGAAGTGCCCTAATACTGGGATCCAGGTGGTCGACTAGCGGCAAAGAGTCGACAAGAGGTCGTTCGATGCAGACTAAAGAGAAGATTCCATTATGAGATTTGATATTTTGATATATTTTAATTACTATAATTCTAAGTATTTCATGTATTTAGAAAAATGTCATCAAAAATAGCACGACTGATACCGGATGAGATCTGTCCATTGTAACCGAAAAACATAAATTAAAAAAATTATAAACTCAGAAAAGATGGATTCAAATAATGCTTTGAAATGATCTGCTTGAAATAAATACGTTTACTTATTAATTTAATTGGTTTTGATGCGTAATGTAGGAATAAAAAAAAGAACAAGCATCAAGCCCTATCATGGA